GCAGCTGGTGCGAAGCTCATAACTTGAGATTGAACCGTTGAAATTCGCTCTCCACCGTTCAGATTGAAGCTCCACAAGTCCTTAGACTCCTCCTAAAATTTCAGCTCGATCGGACAAGATTTGGTCCTCTAATCGACCAAAAACCAGACCTGCGTTTTGAAGAAAAAAGGCAGCGGATTCCTCTCTCTCTCTCTTGCCGCTGATTTTTCCCTTTTTTTGTGCGTAAAATGGTATGTCCAACGAGCTGTACCCCTCAACAATTAGACCCTTAATTTTCCATCAAAAGTTGACTAAAATTTGGGCTTGAGTATTACACTCCAAATGGGCTTTTAAAACACATAGTTGGGAGTCCAAACCTAACACTTTTGATGTGATTTTTAAATATGTATGTTTTATTTTTTATTTCTATACCAATATTTATATAAAATAGATTGAAAAACTTGTGATTTTTCTTCATTTTGCGCAACGGGAAGAAAATTTTAGGACGGAGGGAGTAATAGGTGTAAAATGATTTTTATACTTCCGTTAGTTTTTGAAATTTCAAAAATATTATAAAGTTTTACATTAAATTACTTTGGTTTTAGCAAGTCTAATTTATACGTCAAAGTATTTAATACTTTAAATCGAAAGATTCTACTTTAATTTTTGGGAAATAATTTTAGTTTTTTATAATTATGGATATTCTTGGGTAAAGGTCAATGAAATGAATTAAAAAATACAAATTACATTTAAAAAATTATACTTCATATTAAAGTAAGAAGAACAAATGAAAATATACAATTGTATTTATAATTATACGTAAACTCCGTATCATAGGTATTAATTTTTTTTAAAAAAAAATAGACAATTCGGTTTTACCGGTCCAACCCAGATACGATCCAAGATCGGAATGGACCGAATTTTACCGGTCCAAAATATTTAGACCGGAGACCGGTCCGGAATTTTACCGGTCTAGCCCGGAACCAGTTTTTCCGGTCCGGTTCGGTCCGATTTTTCGGTCCGACCCGGATTTTGTACACCCTTAATGGCCATGTCCAACAAAAGATGTAAAAATCTAGCAAGACAATGCTGCATATATGGATATGAATGACCCCGAGTCTGTACAATCTGCACAAGAAGGCAATTGGAACATTAAGCTACAATTATAGCCTCCTAATAGTCTAGAGCTTAATGTTTTAGATTTGGGATATTTTAGGTCAATTGATACAATTCAAGACCAGGCAGCATTGAATTTCCGCTAGCTCTAGCCACAACGTGAAATCAACCAATTTCAAACAAACCTGAATAGAATTAGTTCTTATTATAATTCTAAATTTTCAACGATTTGTTTTGTTCCATTGCGTAACGAAAAAAACAATTTAGGCCCAAATTTGTAGAAAATTGGCACGAACGAGTCCGTGTCCACCCCTAGCTTACTCCTGCAAAGTAAGTGAAAGACTTTCATATTCCAAAACATATTATCGCCGTCCTGATATATTTGTTCAGGTTGATTTTGTTAAGTAAAATTAGACAAATTTTAAATTTTAATTATTTTAGCTTGCATTGCATATTGGTATAATAAAATAAAAGTTCAAATTTTAAAATAATATAAATCTAAGAAAATCATTTTAATACTAATACATACATATTATAATTTTTATTTAATTAAAGATTCAACTAAAAAATGTTTAGCAAGCATTCCGCCTAAAAACCGAACCCACACCTCACAATTTTGACCTCACCACGTTAGTCTTCCCACATTTTCTAGTCTCATCTTCTTCCCAACTAGTGCATCACCCGTGCCATGCACGGAAAATAAAAATTTATCTTATTTGTAAAAAAACATGTAAAATATTTTAAATTATTAGATATTAGTTTATAAATAGTAAATATGTATGCACTTTCATTTAGGCTATGTTTGGTACACGAAATTCAAATTATGGAATTAGAATGGGGGGTAATAATTCTAATTGTAGTATTTGTTAATACAAAATATGTGAATTTGAAATTGATATTGCCAAAAATATAATGAATTGGATATTGAAAATTCAATTCCATCTAAACCAATTTTATAAAATTCTAACTCTCAATTCAATTCTAATTTCGTCAATTCCGTGTGCCAAATGGACCGTTATAATTATTATTTTTCATTTAGATTTAAATAGACATACAATACATAAGAGAGTGTGCTTTAGAGCATACTACATTTAATAAATAATATGAGGATGAAGGACAATAAAATGTGCAAATTAAGATCAATCAAACATTCTCAAAAGCCATTTTATAAACTACATTCATTGTAGTGTTAATTGGAATATTTTTAGAATTACATATCAGTATTTATAAACCCACTTGGAAGCATATCCTAAAATTTCCACATACAGCTACCCGTAGCTGAAAATAGTTTTTTCAGGAACAGGCGGCGAACATGAGAGAGAGATTGTTCTTGTATTTTGTTTATAATCATTGAATATGATACCATAACTGAAAATTACATTCTTTGAAACTTAAATGGTAATCTCGTATTTGAATGAGTTAATGAAACTCGCAGGATCAAAACAATTTGTACTGCATTTTTTCCATGAATCATCTTTGTTTTCAAGAGACAGTTACGAAGTCTTGTAACAATTAACTGTGGTCCGTTGCAGAGACCATTTTGTTACATTAGCCTGTACACCTTGAAATATATGATATTTTTAGGTGTTAATGATCACAATTTACGATGCATTTCCCTTTCTCATTGTCTCTTTCATCGCTTTCTTCTACACCCCACCCCTTTAAAATCATAATTTACACAATTATTGCCTTTGATTGAAATCAGATAATCACTGATATTTTTACGATCTCTTTAAAACTTCATGATTTTATGATATAGTGTAGGGTTCACTATCAGATATCTTTATCTTTTAGTTCGTTTTTATGTGATTATATTTCAAAATGAAATCTGAGTTCAAATAATAGCTCGATAGATCTAGAGGAGATAACCCCTCGATGATAATCGATATGAATTTAAACAACACATATCTAAAATATTTTTGATATAAAAAATTTATTATGGATTTATGCTCCCCTTCTCTAAATGGAACACTCTCTCAGGAGTCTTGGTATGTAAAGTTTTTTTAGGCCTAGATCTTCGTGGAAATGAATGTTTTTTTATTTTTATTTTAATTATCTTTATTTTATTTCATTTGTTTATATCGTAAAGATGGATGCAAGTGGTGTCATCCACCACAGGTAGAGATAAATCTGTCAATAGTACATTATATTTTATGATAATTTGCAATGTTTTTTTAGAGAACATATCAAATGTTATTTGAATGTTTTCATCACTACCAATTGATGTTTTTTGCCACTTTAAAATTTGATATAATTCCTTAAACAAAAATACTATTTTGGCTAAAAAAATTGTTTCATATTTTTAGAGAGGGAAAAAGATATATTTTCGAAAAAGTCTAACATTTGACTTTCTTTGAATATAATCTCTCTGTACTAAATTTTTTTTCTTCATCACTATTCATATGATCAAACTTTAATTGTTTTTCTTACCTTATTCGTTAGTTATTTGATAAAATAATATAATCATGTCACTTCTTATTTTGTAGAACTTTTGATGTAGTTTTAAAATATTTAGTTTTTTGTTTTTAATTTTACATTTATAATCAAATAAATTGAACTGAAAATAATTTCATTCAAAACTCGTAAACCGAATTGAAAAGATCATTTTAGGAGGGAGTAGTAATTACATCATCGGTATCTTCTTCTCACATATGTTACAGCTCAAAAAGTTGGATTTTTTATACTTTTAAAAAATGTTTTTAAATACATTTTTATAGAAAAAATAATTGTCTATAAAAGAATTTTGTAAATCTTAGTTTTTTAGACTAAAAATACTTTTATACTTAAAACTACTCCGTATTTTTTTGTGTATAAAAATGTTAAAATATACTTAAGGAATAGTTTTGGATATGGTTAGGTGATAATTAGACCAAGTTAATATCCCAATGGGTAAAACTTGAATTACATTTTAGGTATTAAAAATTAAAAAAATGAACTTAAATAGAAAAGGAAGGGATAAGGTCATATCCATACACTTATGGATAAGGCCATATCCATACAAAAGGATGAGATAAAAGTAATTTTTTAATAGAAAAACGAAGGAGTTTTTGGGATAGAAAAAATAAAAGTGGGAGATGTTTATACTTCATGAGTTCATGATCTTAATTTGCAACGCCTGCCTTTACTCGCGAGACACCATCCGTAGGACCAGGCTGTGGAAAACTTTGCATCACGCGTCCGGCGTTTAGGTATACGGCGATACATAGGTAAATGACTCCATTCTTTCAATCTAGCCTCGTTAAGGTTTATTCAGTATTTTTGTGTGTTTAATATGAATATTTGGAGCTTGAATTTGAATTTATCCATTGAATTCAATTGTTGCACGAATCTCTCCAAATTCGAGATTATAAAGCTCGGGTTTCTGTCTGATTTTGCGTGATCATTCCTTTCAATTTGATTCTTACCCTTCATCTCAGAGTGAAAATGAATTTTGGGATCCCTTAAAACTTTTTGGATGCCATTGATATGAAAATGAGTGAGTAGTGTATAACTTAATTTGATTTTTGAGTTATGAAACCTTCACCTCTGAAATTTATACTAATAAATTGAAAAATAGTTTTTTAATAAATTGAAAAATAGCTTTTTAAATAAAAATACCTCATTATCATGAAAAAAACACTTCCGAGCATAAACTTCTCCAGTTTTCCTATAGGAAATAGGATCATATGCATGAATTAATCTTAATTTAAGATGGGCACGAAATGGGAAGGGGGATTAAAACTAACAAAATATGGTTGTATGGCTTAGTGGAGTGTGTAAGATTTGAAGGATATTTATACTTGCACTCCAATGTAGTGGGTTACATGTGAAATTTACCACTTTGAATGAAGAAGAATTGTTTTTTAGTTCCATGAATTGAATCTTATATATGTGTGGACATGGAGGGCAAGAATTGACATTTTTGGTTTCTTCCACTTGTAATGGATACTTATCATTTACTGTAGGGACCATGTTCCATGGTTCTTACTGTTATTCAATGTTTGTTTAAATAATGTATCTTGGCGTGGCAGTAGGAAATTTCATTCAATTCTTGCAGCCATGATGGTCTTCTCATTTGGATTTGGAATAAATTGAACAATTAAGAGGTTGTGATGATAGGTTTTGTATATTTTTCTCTTATTGGTTATACTAAAATTTGATGAAATAATACGTATCTTGGCGTGGCTACCAGGCTACCTGGAAGAAGCCATGGCATTCTCATATCTTTTTTCCCACTGACGAGTATATAACGAGTTTATATCTGAGCCTTTTTTTAGTTGCTTCAAAATGACCATTTTCTGGAAATAATGACCATTACAGTAGAAGAAAATTGACCAGCACATGGCTTGTGCTGGTCAGTTTGAAAAAAATGACCAGTTATTTCCAATTGGCATTCTATAATGACTAATACAGTAGAATAAAGTGACCAGTTATTTCCAATTGCCAGTTAAATTGAAATAAAATTTGGGTTTTTCTGTCCATTTCCGAGCCACCTGAGACGATGGTATATATTTATATTTATATTGGGAACTTTTGTGTTCATTACCGAGGCTCTTCTGGTTGTGGTATATATTTACATTTATATTTTGACAGATTCACTGATAAATATATGCTTTGGTGCATATCATGGGGTCTTTTTCGTGCTTGTGAAAAGGAAAGTTCAAGGAATTGAAGATGGGGCATAGTGTATTTTTCCTGCAAATCATACATTTGATTTTTTGTCCATTTATGATTGTAAATATTGTTGGGTTGTGAAAGATATGTTTTTGTGTGTTTGTGATTGCAAATGAGGCATGCCTTAGATTGAATGGATTAATGCCAAGTGTCTCAAAACTATAATAGCCATTGGATTAACTTTTTCTGGCGGGAAAATTGGGCATTGAAATTGGTTGTGATTTCTCATCACCTTTTATATATATAGTAGATTCCTGCTACCAGTAACTAGTCTACAGTCCACACTACAATCTTGATTTTCTACAGTTTATTTTTTCATCCGAATTTTAGCCGTGAAGATGAGTTCCTTAGGTTCTTTTGGCTCGACGTGTCTTGATCGGGTTTCCCCTTTGAGGTTCCAGGTTAGTCTAATCAATTTCAGCCCCAAACTTTGCAAGATTTAATTCCACGGAGACTAGATTACGAATGCTTAGTTCTGTTATTTGCAGGTTGAATGGAAGAAGAGTTCAAAGCTGAGAAAAAACTTCGTGAGAGCTTCGTCAATGGCATCCCCTCAAAGCTTGCAGTTTGCTGCCGCCAAAGCTCAGCAATCTGAAAAGTTTCGGATTGGTGTTCTTGGAGCTAGCGGATACACTGGTTCTGAGGTACCATTTTTAGTATAGTTTGCACCCTTATCAATGACTTCAATAAGTGTTGAAAATAGATCTCATCATTCGCATGATCTAAATATTAATCTGCATTTGAAATTGCATCTGGTTCTACAAGGTGGTGGTCTCTAAATTCGAATGTGAATGCTTAATCCCAAAGTTCATGTTTGCATTCTTGGATGATATTTATAAACTTGTTTTGGATAATGATTCCCTAACTTTTTGCAGATTATCAGACTCCTATCAAATCATCCGCAGTTCAGAATTACTCTAATGACGGCGGACAGAAAAGCTGGCCAATCAATACAATCAGTATTTCCTCACCTGGTATCACAAGTAAGGACCATGATGCCATAATCATTGTTTTGTTTCCCTGAAAATTTTTTCTGTTTCTCATGTTTACTTTCTTCAACTGTGTTAATTTTCTCCTCAGAATTTGCCAGATCTGGTTGCTGTCAAAGATGCAGATTTTTCTTCTGTTGATGCAGTGTTTTGTTGTTTACCACATGGAACAACGCAGGTTTTTAAGCAACTTTTTTTTGCCATCTCACATTGTCTCAAATTGGTCAAGCTTACACCTTTTGACATATTTTGTACTCCCTTAATAGTCCTCATTTCCTTTTTTGGATGCCCCAAAATAAGCCCTCTATCCACTTTTAGAAAAGTTTTTGTGGTTCATATTGTTCTCTCTTCTTTGCATCACTTTCAACTACACAATTTCACTTTTTTTAAACTCTGTGTCGACTGAAATGTGGATGTTTGATTTGTTACGGAAGGAGTACTTGTATTGGTTATAAGTGATAACTATTAATGCAAAATTATATTTATGTTCTTCCAACCGTTGATAACTACTCTATCTTCTTAGGAAATCATCAAAGGTCTGCCAACTAGTCTAAAAGTTGTTGATCTTTCTGCGGTATGCTTACTGATTCAACTTCAATCTATTCCATTGCATGTTCACAATGAATTACTTTCAATACTATTGATTAATGGTGCACTACCAATGTGATGCAATGTGTAGGACTTCAGATTGCGTGATGTTGCTGAATATCATGAATGGTATGGTCACCCTCACATAGCCCCTGAGTTGCAGGTATACTGCTTGCTTTCCTTTTTTTTAATATATATATATATATATGTGTGTGTGTGTGTGTGTGTGTATAGTCACTTAGGATAAATGGCATTGATTATGTAATGCTAGTTATAGACTTTTCAACATACTTTGAAGAACCCCCACATCATGCCCCTATCTCTGCTAAAGATGGCTTACATTTTCTGTATAGGATTATAAAAATTATACTCCCTCCGTCCCAAAATAAGGCTCCTGTTCAGTTTACGATGTTAAGCTATTTTCAAATCAATATAAGTAAAAATTGGTGTAGAATTAAAAAATAAAAATTATATATTAAAAAACTACATAAAAAATTCTACAAAACGAGTGGTGACAAGGTTATTTTATTTTGTCAAATGATCGATGAAAACGTATAAAGAAAGTGAAGTTAGTTTGACCTGTGAATAGTAACTAAGATTCTTTTTTTGGGGCGGAGGGAGTAGTATTTATTGTAAGACTTCCATCCATGGTGACATTTTCTTCTACTTGAATGCAGAAAGAAGCAGTGTATGGTTTGACTGAGATCTATAGAGCGGAAATCAGTGATGCACGACTGGTTGCAAATCCTGGTTGTTATCCAACATCTGTCCAACTCCCTCTAATTCCATTGATAAAGGTTGTTCTTTTAATGAATGACTTATTGTTAGACGCCTCGCACACCTCTAGAGGGGGGGTGAATAGAGGTGTTGCCCAAAAGACCAATTTTTTGCGCGGAAACGTTCTTCACGAATATTTAATAAAAATAATGCACCACAAACAAAATAAAGTGAAGGATAAGAGCAATGCACACACGATATATACTGGTTCGGCCTAAATGCCTACATCCAGTCCCCGAAGCAATCGTGCCCAAGCCTTCACTAACCCGTCAAACTTAACGGAGTTTGACAATCCGAATACAACTCGAGAACTTGATTTCACAAGCCTCTTATCTTACCACCGAAGTTTTGATTTCACAAAACTCAGGATTTCTTCCACCTAACGTTTGATTTCACAAACCGTTAGGATTTCTACCACTTGGTGTAATCCCAACACCAAGAATACAAATCCCTTACA